ATTTTATTTCTTATTCATGTATTAATCTTTCCTTCCGTCCGTCCGTCCATCCATCCATCCATCTATCCCTCCATTTACCCATCCACCCATTCTCCATCTTCCCATACATCTATTCTTCCATTATTTTATTTCTTATTCATGTATTAATCTTTCCTTGTCCAGTATAACAAGTTGAACTTGTTCAATAACAGGGGCGGATCCAGGATTTTGTTCAGGGAGGGGTGCTGCACACAGTTAACCCAGGGAGGGGTGCAACCCTTAGAATCAAAAGGAATCAAAAGGAAAAACAGTATTGGTTAATTTTGAAGTAGGGGCACAAAGTTGAACCAGGAAGGGGTGCGCACCCCCTGCAACCCTCCCCTGGATCCACCCCTGCAATAAGAATCTCACACTAAATGTATTACATTAGTTTTATTGAATACTTTAATATCCCATTCTTATTGTCTATCCTTTTTGTTTCATTGTGGCTATTGCAGGCTTACTTGAAAAGAGAAGGCCCTCTCTCTTCTTTACAGACTGTAGAAGAGCAATTTTTCAAGGACAATAATAGCTCAAAATCTGGCCTTTCATCATAATAATGATCCTGAAGGCTAGTCAAAGCTTTATGAACATCCATCAAGATATGGTAGAGCCATTTCAAAGTTTGGCAGTAAAAAGCAAGACCAAGCTCAGGTAACTCAGGTTTAGTCCACAGGAAGCCCATTTCAGGTAAAAGTGATGGACTATTTCTACACAGGAAACAATCCTTGAAATATAGGGGAATTGAGATAAAACACTATAGAGAGGTCAAAGGTAAAATAGTCATAATGCACTCATCTATCACCTTTGAGGTCTTTTCTTGAACTGTGCATCACATTTTAGTAGAGTTTGTTTGTTCTCCATCTTGATTCAAGGGCTTTTTCTCTGGTTTCTCGGGTTTTTCTCCCTTCAATAATTTTTGAAATGTTAATGAAATTTAAAAAGAGTTTTAAAAAATTGGAAAAAACAGAACTAAACAAAGGATCTTCTACATCCTTTGTTACAGAATTGTTGTTTTATTTATTAGGGAATGAGACAATGCCTCTCACAGATTACAAGCAGTCCCTGTCATTAGTGTGTTTTCAGAGTCGTAACCACCGGTATGAAAACCAAACCACTCATTTTCCATCAAAACCAGGAGAAATGGATTCTGAAAGTGGTTTTCAGCTTTCTTTAAAACTAGACGGCCACGTAAACGAGAGAGTATAGCAATTATCTTGGGGTTGTGTTTGTTGGAGATTTCATTCAAAACATTGTATGTAAAATCAATTCGTTCATGGGGAAGACAGACTTTGAGGTGCGAAACTCAAAAGTAAAATTAATATTTACATTGTACACTCCGGTTGACATCACCTTCGTAGATTTTACAAATCTTAAAGTTCCTAGTGTTTAAATGGTGGCTATGGCCCTGATTTGCTTTTGGTAACTTAGCCAATTGAGGATTAGCAGTTACCCTTATATCTTTGGGGGGGGGGGGGGGGGGGGGGGGGGAGAAAAAAAAAAAAAGAAAGAAAAGAAAGTATAAAATATTTTTTTCTTTCGTTCTTTTTTTTCCCCCACCACCTACTTTCCATTGATTGGCTACTTTTTTCACTCTACATTTTGATTGGTTAATTTTTATACTTCCCATGCCCCTTCTTTCTTCTGATTGGCTACAATTTTACCTATACACGCATATACATTGTGATTGGTTAATTTTTATACTTCCCAAACCCCTCCTTTCTCCTGATTGGCTACAGTTCGCCCTCTACATTGTGATTGGTTAATTTTATAAGAGAATGCATACCATATATCCGTGAAAAAGTAAAAGAACAAAATTGTGCAAAGTTTTGTATTTGTGCGGTTTACTGAACTTACTAATTTATGCATATTTATGCAATCCCTTACAAAGGTTTTCACAGATATAATATGGTATGCACACTAGAGTGTGTACTTTTTTCTATGTTAGTTTGTAGTAATAGTAAGTAGATGGTCCACCGGTACAAAAGTCCCCAATTGAGCTGCATTGTTGTCCATAAAAACGATCCCAGCACTGCCCAGTCTTGTTCAACATGTTGGCTTGGTGTTCCTTTATACCCCAGCACACACCTATTATAAACGAGCCAAACATTTTGTTAGCTGGTACATGGGTACACTTGCCCGTCTGGGGTCTCGGGTTGGATTCCTGGACTTAGCACCACATGTTGGTTAAGAACCAAGGATGGTGTAGCGGTAGTGCACTTGCCTCTCTCCCATTGTGCCCTCAGGTTGGATTCCTGGAATGAGCAACGCATGCGAGTAGAGTTTGTTAGRTCTYTCCCTTAATTCAACAACAAGCTAATTCCAGTTCGATCTATGACTTATTCGGACCCTGACTAGAATCTAGATCGGCCCAGTATACAGAGGTTATTTCAGGGTTCAATCTGTGAGTTAGTCGTGCCCTGACTTAGATCAGCCCAGAGGTTGTTTCAGGGTTCGATCTGTGAGTTATACGTGCCCTGACTTAGATCAATCCAGAGGTTGTCTCAGGGTTCAATCTGTGAGTTAGCCGTGTCCTGACTTAGATCAGTCCAGAGGTTGTTTCAGGGTTCAATCTGTGCGTGGTGCCCTGACTTAGATCGACCCAGAGGCCACAAAACAAAACTCCCAAAAAATTATTTAAGATTAAATTACATTTAGTATGTATGGTCTATACTATCTACCATACCGAAGTTATGAATCGCAAAAGTTTCATATCCATGGCCGGAAGCCCTCTCCGCACATCTGCAAAGCAGGCTGGGAAGATACTGGTTCCATCGCAGCCAATCGATGAGCGTGCCGTTAAATGCCTTGTTTTCCATGTCTCGTTCATTCAGTAGCTCTATTCCCAGCGGTTGGTCAGATACAAATAATTGGTTTGCGTAGCATCCAAGGGCTTGGTATTTCTTTGAACATGAGAGAGCTGGAAAGAGAGGGGAAAAAAATTTTTTTCGCTCGATCGTCTTTCCGGATTTAAATAGGAATCAATCGTTGTGCTCTCGCGGATCCAGAGTTGGTAAAAGGGGTGACTAGTTACTTTCCTTTTACTCAATCTTCTAAGTGTATTGCTAGTACTTGAATAAGCCTGAAGCGAGATGACGTTTTACTCCCGACTCTATACCATAATAGTTTTTAAAATTCTTTCATATTAAAATTTTT